AAACGAAAGCCTGTAATTGTTTTTCATGGATGGTAGATGTGGGTCTTTTTGTATGTCTCATATATGCAAGATTACAGCATGTATTACTTCTTCTACTTACACTTAGGTCACACTAACATTAATGTACACGTTTAATTTACACACTCATCTGAGTTTTCATTTGATTTTATATTATTAGTTCTTGGTCTTATTACTTATCCATTTTATATCCATGGGATGTGAGAATAAGAATCTTTCCTCCGTAAGCCATGCGTGTTGGTAAAGTCAACTAAAATGCAGGGAACAATGGCGCTAGTAACCCTTTTCCTGTAAAGATTACTAAAAAGAATAAGAAGAAGAAAATTGTCAAAGTGGGAGTCTGAATATGCATGGATGTTGTGAAATGATAAGAGAGAGATGATTGTGGATGTTATGAATGAGAGAAACTGGATTCCTGTGCTTTTAAAGTGAAACAAAGCTGCAAGGGGGGGTGGGGAGAGTTTCATGGAGAGGAATAATGGGATTAGGTCAGGGGTTTCAAATAGAGATGAGAGCTAAAGAAGGAAGTAGCCATAATGTCGATGGATAAGCAATGGCTGGAAATGAGGTAAGACAAACGTTTAATTTCAAGGATCATGTGGAGTAAATAATGTTTGGATGTGAAAAGTGGGTTATAGTAAGCGTGTATGCACCTGGAGAAGAGAAATGTGTAGAGGAGAGAGAGAGAGATTCTGGGAAATGCTTGAGTGTAATGCGTGGGGAGTTTTGATCAAGTGTGAGAGTAATGGTGGTTGGGGATTTCAATGCTAAAGTGGGTAAAAATGTTATGGAGGGTGTAGTAGGTAAATTTGGGGAGCAGGTGTAAATGTAAAAGGGGGAGCCTTTAATTGAGCTATGTGTAGAAAGAAATTGGTAATAAGTAAATAACATATTTTATGAAAAAGAGGATAAATAAATATACAAGGGTATGATGTAGCACTTAATGAAAGTAGTTTGTTGCTTATGTATTGTGGAAAAAAGGTTGATGGGTAGGCTCCAGGATGTACATGGTTTTATAGAGGGGGCAACTGATTATCGGATCATTATTTAGTTGTAGCTACAGTTAGAGTAAGAGGTAGATGGGAAAAGAGGAAGGTGGACAAAAAACAAGTAAGAGGGAGGCTGAAAGTGTTTAAACTAAGGGAGGAGGAGTTCGGGCGGATATAAGCGGACTATTGGCAGAAAGGTGGGCTAGTGCTGAAAGATGGGTAGTGGAGGGGGGGGTGGTTGAAGAGGGTTGGAATAGTTTTAAATGCAGTTATTAGAATGTGAGGGAGAAGTTTGTGGTTATAGCGAGGGTGGGGGCAGGATGGAGGAAAGAGGGAGTAGTGGGGAGTGATTGGTGGAATGATGAAGTAAAGGTGTGATATAAAAGAGAAAAAGGATAGCTTATGAGAGGTTTTAACAAAGCAGAAGTGTTATAAGAAGAGAAGCGTATATGGAGAGTACAAAGAAGGGAAGAGAAGAGAGTGGTGAGAGAGGTGCAAAAGGATGAGAGATGATAGTGTGGGAGAGGCAAATGTCAAAGAAATTTTATGAAAATAAGAAAAAATTTTGGGAGTGAGTTTTTAAACAAGGTTTAGAAAGCCTAGGGGAAAGTATGGATTTGTTCTGTTAAAAAACAGAGTAGGGGAGTTAGTAGATGGGGAGAGGGAGGTATAGGTAGAGGGCGAGAATATTTTGAGGGATACTTTTAAATGTTGAGGAGAAAGGGAGGCGGTAATTTAATACCACTGGCCAGGGAGGTCTATACCATCTTTTAGGAGTTGGAAGAAGAGCAGAATGTAAGTGGGGTGGGAGGTACGTGAGGTATTACGTAGAACGAAGGGAAGTAAAGCAGCTGGAACTGATGGGATCATGACAGAAGTGTTAAAGAAGGGGGAGGGATATACGTGTTGGATGGTGGTATTTATTTATATAAATGTATGAAAGAGGGGAATGGTACTAGGGATGGCGAGAGAGCTGTTTAGTCCCTTTATAAAGGGAAGGGGATCAAAGAGAAAGTAAAATTATAGCAGGAATAAGTTTACTGAGTATACCAGGAAAAGTATACGGTTAGGGTTATAATTGAAAGAATTGAGGTAAGACCGAATGTAGGAGTGCGATGAGCAGGAGGCTTCAGATGGGGGTAGGGGATGTGTAGATCAAGTGTTTACATTGAAGCATATATGTGAACAGTATTTAGCTAAAGGTAGGGAAGTTTTTATTGCATTTATGGATTTAGAAAAGGCATATGATAGAGTGGATAGGGGAGCAATGTGGCAGATGTTGCAAGTATATGGAAAATAGGTGGTAAGTTAACTAAATGCTGTAAAGAGCTTTTATGAGGATAGTGATGCTCAGGTTAGGGTGTGTAGAAGAGAGGGAGATTATTTCCCGGTAAAAGTAGGTCTTAGACAGGGATGTGTAATGTCACCATGGTTTTTTAAATATATTTATAGATGGGGTTGTAAAAGAAGTAAAGCTAGGGTGTTGGGGAGAGGGGTGGGATTAAATTATGAGGAATCAAATTCAAAATGGGAATTGACACAGTTACTTTTTGCTGATGATACTGTGCTTATGGGAGATTCTAAAGAAAAATTACAAAGGCTAGTGGATGAGTTTGAGATGTGTGTAAAGGTAGAAAGTTGAAAGTGAACATAGAAAAGAGTAAGGTGATGAGGGTATCAAATGATTTAGATAAAGAAAAATTGGATATCAAATTGGGGAGGAGTATGGAAGAAGGAATTTTTTTCAGATATTTGGAATTTTGACGTGTCGGCGGAGGATTTATAAGGGGATGAGGTTAATTTCATAGAATTGATGAGGGAAAAAAGGTGAGTGGTGCGTTGAGGTATATGTGGAGTCAAAAAAACGTTATCTATGGAGGCAAAGAAGGGTATGTATTGAAAGTATAGTAGTACCAACACTCTTATATGGATGTGAAGCTTGGGTGGTAAATGCAGCAGCGAGGAGGCGGTTGGAGGCAGTGGAGATGTCCTGTCTAAAGGGCAATGTGTGGTTTTAAATATTATGCAGAAATTCGGAGTGTGGAAATTAGGAGAAGGTGTGGAGTTAATAAAAGCATTAGTCAGAGGGCTGAAGAGGGGTTGTTGAGGTGGTTTGGTCATTTAGAGAGAATGGATCAAAGTAGAATGACATGGAAAGCATATAAATCTATAGGGGAAGGAAGGAGGGGTAGGGGTCGTCCTCGAAAGGGTTGGAGAGAGGGGTAAAGGAGGTTTTGTGGGCGAGGGGCTTGGACTTCAGCAAGCGTGCGTGAGCGTGTTTGATAGGAGTGAATGGAGACGAATGGTACTTGGGACCTGACGATTTTGTTGGAGTGTGAGCAGGGTAATATTTAGTGAAGGGATTCGGGGAAACTGGTTATTTTCATATAGTCGGACTTGAGTCCTGGAAATGGGAAGTACAATGCCTGAAACTTTAAAGGAGGGGTTTGGGATATTGGCAGTTTGGAGGGGATATGTTGTGTATCTTTATATGTGTATGCTTCAAACTGCTGTGTTTCTGAGCACCTCTGCAAAAACAGTGATAATTTTGTGAGTGTGGTGAAAGTTTTTTGAATGATGAAAGTATTTTCTTTTTGGGGATTTTCTTTCTTTTTTGGGTCACCCTGCCTCGGTGGGAGAGGGCCCCCGACTTGTTGAAAAAAAAAATATTATATATATATATATTTTAATATATATATATATATATATATTATATTATATATATATATATATTATATATATATATATATTATATATATATTTATTACGAACAACAACGGTTCCCGTACTGATGCTTGGAAGATTCCATTCGTTAAGGAAATGGTCCACAATGTCGTTAACGTTATGACCAATAATGTCGCTAACGTTGGGCGTGGTTAGAACTGAAAGGGTAGTGGTTAAAGGTAAGCTTTATATGTTGTTCAGGATGCAGCAGTTACCTGTTAAGTCTTCCGGTCAGAAAGTAGGCGCCGCTGCTGCCATGTATGCAATACGCTAGGTTTGTGGGATTGTAAACAAACTTAACTGAACACTATATAAAGACCAGCTGATGGCGCACCGCGCCAGTGCTTCCCGAGACGGTATAGTGGGAGTACCTCATTGGAACATTATTTGACAGTCCACATGGGGAAAGTAGTTATGGAGAGTGTTTTAAGTATAATGTTTACTGTGTTGACAGTGGTGATGGCAACCCCTCAAGGAATCGATCCACACAGGATCTACACGCCAGATGATCTAGAAGAACTGAACGCCGCTATAGCCTACGAGAAGTGCCTGGAAACGCCTGGTTGTAACCCTAACCGCCCTCAAGAGAGAGGTACTCGCAGGTGTCAGTTGGGCTCTGGTGTGAATACTATACTTAAAGACGTAATGAATATGCAGTGCAACCCTTTCGCTGGCGAAGTGTTGTGGCCACCCACTGGCAGCTGTGTACGTCTCCTCACCCAAGGTCCCTGCCCCAGGGGACAATGGGTCAAACTCACCAATCCAGGATGTAAGTCACCACTCAAGCTTACTCGTCACAATTTACAACATTGTTGTAAACGACCTTCAAAAACAGTTGAAAAAAAAAACATTAAGACTGAGCTCAGAAATACAGTATACACATTTACATACACAGAAAGATATATCTTGTTTTCCCTGCGCATGATAGAACCTAACAAATGACCTTGAGTGACACCAGTTCCGTCCCTCCACCCCCTCTCCCCCTATCATTATGTGGCCAACCCGCAACACCCAAAGGTACACGATTGTTTTTCAGCGATTATACCTGGCCAGGTTATTATAATCATAACTAAGCGCTGAACCCAGAAGTGTATACCTGACCAGAATAATTACTGTACACGAACTCTATGGCCGCCTAGGCCTTAATTTATCAATGTCTGCCTGAAATGCACCGCATGCTAGTGGCTTTATGTGCCTAACATTATTACATATAAACTACATTTCCTATATACTGCAGATTATTATTATGTGGCCCCAACTAATTCACATTAAAAGCTCATCTCAGGATTCTGATTTCGCAGCTTTTTCGTGAATAGCCGAAACCCCAAAGAATTTAGTATAATTAATATTACGAGTTCAAATACATGCAATCCACTAATTACATTTATTTCATGGGAAACAGATTCGATCAAAGAAATGGAAAGGTATCTCAAATTCTTTGGATCAAAAGCCCTTAATTTCAAGGGAGATACCTAAAGAGAGCAGTGTACTAAGAAAATAAAACCAGGGCACTTCAGTTGGCCTACTAGTTAACTTGGCAGATCCTTCTCACACTCAACTGGGACCATATTTATCAGTTTTACCTTGAAATAGATAAACTGTTGAAACTTGCACTACAACATTCAGTAAGTAGCGAGGCAGCTGCAATAGGAAGAGGAGTGTGCAGTGAGACAATACCGTTGCTTGAGAGCCCAAGGCTCTTGTGCAGAATTACTTTCAGTATCCTGAGTGATTGTCATCGCCAAACTCTTCATTACATTGGTACCATCTTCCTTTCATAAAGAATAAAAAGGCCCAATACAGTGGCTGGAACAATACACAAATAACCCATACACAGGAGAATGAAACATGACTTTTCGGTCCGACTTGAACCCTAAGTTTCATTTTTTTTTTTTTTAATGTGCGGGTAATCTGTGTAATCTTCCTCTCCTATGAGCTTATTTTCCTCGGTATGATAATGGTACAATTCTGTCATTTATCAAGTAATCTTACAATGCCGACAATCAGTATATGACCTTTACTGGTGCCTCTGACCCCCACCTTGCAAATAACACTTTTTTTTTTCATTCACTGAGGCGATCACATACCAAAATGAACATCCACTGCATTTTTTTTTTAAGAATTACTGTTAGCCTTGTGCCCTTTTCTAACTACTGCACACCCGCAATAGGCCCTCATATCTTCACCTCGAGAAGAGACTGACACCCGTAGGAGTGTCATGTAAGTTGCCTACTCCCACATGTGGTTAAACAAGTGAAACTAGTTTCACAAGACCCCCCCCCCCCAAAAAAAAAAAAAAATGCGACGAATGCTTTCTTGGCTGCTTGCCTGGACTACAATTCTGCTGCACTGTTCTTGTCTGACCTCTTAGTTTCACTTTAAAACATCTCCATCTAGTCGAGTGCAAATAGAGTTAAGAAATATGGTATATACTTCATTAAAATATTTTAGTGTGCTTCAAGACTCATTACTACATGTAATAGCCAATCAGTCTACCTAAAGTTATAGATACAAAATAAAAAATACAAATCTTTAAGTGTAATTTTACCGCTAAATACCTTAAAATGAAAAAGGCTGACAGAGTTACATTCAGCATAACAAGTTCTATTATACATCCTTCAACATCAACAAATTAACTCAAAATTATAGATTTTTAACTTTGAAAAAACTTGTTTCCCTTCTGGATTATCTCATCCATCTCCACCAACTTTAACCAACTGTTCCTTATTTCCCACATGGGACGTACTACTGTGATTTACCTCTGATTTCCAGATTCTTAGTTTTATACCCTTGCTGCCCAGCCTAAGTCCAGTACACCTTCGCGACTACCCTCTGTGAGGAATCACTACACGACTGGAAAAACCATCCTGCTTGAAAAGTGTTAGGCAGACACGTTTATATAGGTCAAGGTCGTTACACAATTTGGTTTATCTAACCGTCATAAAAAATTATCTCGAGATCGGTCAGGTTATTCCCTCTTATAGACTGTCATATTTCTTCCAGCAATATTCCAGATATTCTCCGAAAAAAAATAGTTAATATTCCTACGAGAGCCACTAGTACTTGTTTATCGATTTGCTGAACTCGTCCTATCAAGCATTTCCTCTTGTTTTATTTTCCAGCCACTGTTACTCTGACTTTAGCTATCATCATCAACACAGCGTTGCCACTGAATACTGTATTTTATGCTTCAACTTAGTACATATCTTTGGTTAGACCTCATTTAGATTTTGCTGCTCAGTTCTGTCTCCTTATTAAAAGATGAACATATATGCGCTCGAAAATATGCAAAGAATGACAAAACTGATTCCATGTATCAGAAACCTTTCCTACGAAAACAGGCTGAAATATCTGAACTTGCACTCTAGAAAAGTGCAGAATCAGGAGATAGACTAAAGTATAGTAGTGTGCCTTTTTGCTCTTTATGGAAAACGGGAAAAATGGATATAAATAGCATATTGAAAATAGCTAACCAGAAAGGATATTGAGACTGGTTTGGCAACGGAGTTGTAAATGAGTGGAATAAACTCCCAGGTACTGTCACTGAGGCATGAACTTTAGGTAGCTTTAAATATAGGCTGGAAGGGTACATTAGTCGGTATGGATAGGGGCGAGTTGGACCTGCTTAGCATGGGCCAGTAGGCCTATTGCAGTGTTCCTTGTTATATTGTTCATTACAATACCAAGCGCGCAGCCCGAGTCTCAGTATGTGTGATAACCTAGATGGCTGCAACGTGGCAATAACCACTACACAACTTGGAAAGTATTTTACGCCAAAGAAAAGGCACGCAACTTAAGACGGTAAGACTGTCACTACAAGTAACTACTATCACTACAAAACACAAGTAACGACTGTCACTACAAAACACAAGTAACGACTATCGTTACAAAACATATGTAACGACTGTTACCACAAAGCACAGTAACGACTGTCACTACAAAACAAGTAACGACTGTCACTACAAAACAAGTAACGACTATCACTACAAAACACAAGTAACGACTGTCACTACAAAACACAAGTAACGACTGTCTACAAAACACGAGTAACAACTGTTACTACAAAACAAGTAACGACTGTCACTACAAAACACGAGTAACTGTCACTACAAAAAAGTAACGACTGTCACTACAAAACACGAGTAACAACTGTCACTACAAAACACAAGTAACGACTGTCACTACAAAACACAAGTAACGACTGTCACTACAAAACACAAGTAACGACTGTCACTACAAAACACAAGTAACGACTGTCACTACAAAACACGAGTAACAACTGTCACTACAAAACAAGTAACGACTGTCACTACAAAACACAAGTAACGACTGTCACTGCAAAACACGAGTAACAACTGTCACTACAAAACAAGTAACGACTGTCACTACAAAACACAAGTAACGACTGTCACTACAAAACACAAGTAACGACTGTCACTACAAAACACGAGTAACAACTGTCACTACAAAAAAGTAACGACTGTCACTACAAAACACGAGTAACGACTATCACTACAAAACATGAGTAACAACTGTCACTGCAAAACACAAGTAACGATTGTCACTAAAAAACACAAGTAACGACTGTCACTACAAAACACAAGTAACGACTGTCACTACAAAACACAAGTAACGACTGTCACTACAAAACACAAGTAACGACTGTCACTACAAAACACAAGTAACGACTATCGTTACAAAACATATGTAACGACTGTTACCACAAAGCACAGTAACGACTGTCACTACAAAACAAGTAACGACTGTCACTACAAAACAAGTAACGACTATCACTACAAAACACAAGTAACGACTGTCACTACAAAACACAAGTAACGACTGTCTACAAAACACGAGTAACAACTGTTACTACAAAACAAGTAACGACTGTCACTACAAAACACGAGTAACTGTCACTACAGAAAAGTAACGACTGTCACTCCAAACACGAGTAACAACTGTCACTGCAAAACACAAGTAACGATTGTCACTAAAAAACACAAGTAACGACTGTCACTACAAAACACAAGTAACGCCTGTCACTACAAAACACAAGTAACGACTGTCACTACAAAACACAAGTAACGACTGTCACTACAAAACATAAATAACAACTGTCACTACAAAACAGTAGCAACTGTCACTACAAAACACGAGTAACAACTGTCACTACAAAACAAGTAACGACTGTCACTACAAAACACAAGTAACGACTGTCACTACAAAACACAAGTAACGACTGTCACTACAAAACACGAGTAACAACTGTCACTACAAAACAAGTAACGACTGTCACTACAAAACACAAGTAACGACTGTCACTACAAAACACAAGTAACGACTGTCACTACAAAACAAGTAACGACTGTCACTACAAAACAAGTAACGACTGCCACTACAAAACATAAATAACAACTGTCACTACAAAACAGTAGCAACTGTCACTACAAAACACGAGTAACAACTGTCACTACAAAACAAGTAACAACTGTCACTACAAAACAAGTAACGACTGTCACTACAAAACACAAGTAACGACTGTCACTGCAAAACACGAGTAACAACTGTCACTACAATACAAGTAACGACTGTCACTGCAAAACACAAGTAACGACTGTCACTACAAAACACAAGTAACGACTGTCACTACAAAACACGAGTAACAACTGTCACTACAAAAAAGTAACGACTGTCACTACAAAACACGAGTAACAATTGTCACTGCAAAACAAGTAACGATTGTCACTACAAAACATAAATAACTGTCACTACAAAACAGTAACGACTGTCACTACAAAACACGAGTAACAACTGTCACTACAAAACAAGTAACGACTGTCACTACAAAACACGAGTAACGACTGTCACTACAAAACACGAGTAACAAATGTCGCTACAAAACAAGTAACGACTGTCACTACAAAACACGAGTAACGACTGTCACTACAAAACACAACGACTCACTACAAAACACGAGTAACAACGGTCACTACAAAACACGAGTAACAAATGTCGCTACAAAACAAGTAACGACTGTCGCTACAAAACAAGTAACGACTGTCACTACAAAACAAGTAACGACTGTCACAACAAAACACAAGTAACGACTGTCTTTACAAAACACAAGTAACGACTGTAACTACAAAACACAAGTAACGACTGTAACTACAAAACACAAGTAACGACTGTAACTACAAAACACAAGTAACGACTGTAACTACAAAACACAAATAACAACTGTCACTACAAAACAGTAACGACTGTCACTACAAAACACAAGTAACGACTGTAACTACAAAACACAAGTAACGACTGTCACTACAAAACACAGTAACGACTGTAACTACAAAACACAAGTAACGACTGTAACTACAAAACACAAGTAACGACTGTCACTACAAAACACAAATAACAACTGTCACTACAAAACAGTAACGACTGTCACTACAAAACACAAATAACGACTGTCACTACAAAACACAAGTAACGACTGTCACTACAAAACACAGTAACGACTGTAACTACAAAACACAAGTAACGACTGTAACTACAAAACACAAGTAACGACTGTCACTACAAAACACAAATAACAACTGTCACTACAAAACAGTAACGACTGTCACTACAAAACACAAATAACGACTGTCACTACAAAACACAAGTAACGACTGTCACTACAAAACACAAATAACGACTGTCACTACAAAACAAATAACGACTGTCACTACAAAACACAAATAACGACTGTCACTACAAAACACAAATAACAACTGTCACTACAAAACAGTAACGACTGTCACTACAAAACACAAGTAACGACTGTCACTACAAAACACAAGTAACGACTGTCACTACAAAACACAAATAACGACTGTCACTACAAAACACAAATAACGACTGTCACTACAAAACACAAATAACGACTGTCACTACAAAACACAAATAAAGATTGTCACTACATAATAATTAACGACTGTCATAAAAAACTTTAATAATTTTTGAAGAAATTTTGAATTATAATTTTTCGGAGGATTTAGAAATTTTAATACACAACCATCTATGTAATCAATATCAAAACAATTATACATCGATCAGGATACGAATGAATGCTGAAAAATTTAGTAATTTTTCTCGTTTGAACACTTTTAAACTCGAGACTTATAGGCTATAAAAACACTGGCCATAAGGGTTTATCGTTTGTTTATATGTAAGTCAACAGAGTGAGGTGGCGCGTGTTTCCTTAATCCCATTGGTTAGTAATATTATTTAGGTACAGCTATAGAAGTACAGTTATCATACATTGTAACGTGTGTAAATTACCTAGGATAACCATTGCGGTTTATTTTTATTTTATTTTTTGCTAATGTGAAAGTGTTGATTAAATTGTATATGTTGTTTTTGGAGAAGCGGGAGGTGATCATCCTGAGACCTTGCATATCCTGCTTTGCAACTTTTGACTAATGAAAGGTCGTAGTGTATGTGTCTTGACAACTGACACTGTACTTGTGCTGACACTAGGTATGGAGAGAACTGACACTAGTATCGTAAGAAGTGATACCGCAGATGTGCTCATTCTCATTCTACAGAGGAACACTACAGGTGTGGCAAGAGCTGACAATCTATCAGCCTAAACCCTAAGGGGGAGAGGTCCTTGATGGGTCCCCCACGTTGTTTTGTTGTTACAGTGTACTACTACTGTGTCCCTTAAGTCTGGAACGATCCAGTACTGACGACTAACGCTATCACTGGATGGATATTTCGTCTGCAATCGTGTATCAATAATAACTGTGGAGAGTGAATACGTTCTCTGAATAAAACACTATTACCTTTTGTTCATTTTCCCCCACTACTCCAGACAACTGAATTACTACCACCACTAAATATTTAAGGACAGCATTTTGAAGTTTAATGAGCCTCCAAGCCCTATGTTGACAGTTTTACTTACAGTTGGAGTCATTTGTTCATTAACAAACCCTTAAATCTGTGAACCAGTCCATCATATACCTTAGTGTCCCATCATGCCATGATGATTTCTACAATCGTCTATACACATTCGAGACTGGAATAATTATTTGCTTCAATCAAACATCAGAGGATTTATATTATAAAGTATTATGATTTAAATATATGTAAGTTAATATTTTTCCTAACAGCATGGATTACCTTTTTTGTGGACGTCCCTAATGTGTGAGCGCCTCTGCTGCCCTCCTTTTAAATCTGGCCCTGATGAAGACCCTTAAGCTCAGTTTTTTTTTTTTAACTACCAGGTTCCGTGACCTTGGGCCAGCTCGTCTGGTGCTTGCCTGGTCGACCAGGCTGCTGGTGGTGGTCCACTAACCCACATATCCATCACAGTCTGACTGATCGGATACCTGGCGAACGTGCTGGTCCAGTTTCCACTTAACAAACACAAGTCACACTTACACCATCTCTGAGAATACTAACAATCTGACAACATAAACACTGGGATAACAAAATAAAAACTATGTAACTGACAGATGTGACAACATAAACATGTAACGCAATATAAATCACACAATGTTAAACTGATGCCAAAATACTGAAAGCAGAACAAGGTAGTGCCCTGCAGAACCTAGACACGTGTTATACTAGTGGTCTTCGTGCGTTCCCTGGACATGTAATGTTCACCTAGTACGTTCCCTGGGCACGTCTTGTACCAGTAATGTTGGCTGAGTGCCTTTCTTCAATCCATGTCTTGTACTAGTAATATTTTCATTATTTTATTATTGGTGATTAATTATAGGTAGATATGAAGCTAATTTTGGAGTATACCAGGAGAGGGTTTCGGGGATCAATGTCCCCCATGGCCCGGTCTGTGACCAGGCCTCGTGGTGGATCAGAGCCTGATCAACCGGGCTGTTACCGTTGGCCGCATGTAAACCAACGTACGAACCACAGCCCGGGTGGTCAGGTACTGACTTTAGGTACCTGTCCAGCAGTTAGAATATAACCTACTATATAATTTCTGTCACTGCTCAGGTTGTGCAGGTATCAATGTATCATACTACGTGAAAAAAAAAAATTTTAACATGGGTAGCACTTGTGTAGCATGGGTCAGTGGGTCTTATGTGAAAATGCTTTATTCTTAGGGTATTATTGTTTCAGTGGAGCCTGTGTGTGAGCGTGTGCCATGTGATGCTGGCCTCGCTGATGTAGGTAGAGGGCAGTGTGTAAGCCCCAGGAGGGCTGTAACAATGTGCCCCCCCACACAGCAGTTAGTCATTAACGAGTTTGGTGTGGGAGAGTGTGACTGCGCCCCGGGTCTTGTCTACTACACTGCCACCAAAACCTGCTACACTCCCTACACGCAGGGACCTTGCCCACCCAGACACATTATCAAGGTAAGATTTGTTACGCTAGCTTAAATGTGTAATTACGAGTTCCAATATCTTCGCTGAAACAATTCACAAACTGGACGAGATTTTAATCTGTTCGTGACATTATCATGTCTCAAGTAAGTTAATATTGGTCCACTACTGACCAAATGGAGTCCAGCTTTCATTTCTTACTGAAGTAATAGTTTTGTCCATTAAATTATAGGAATGTAAAAATATTAAAGTATGTTGCATGTTTGTCCAGGTTGTAGATGAGGGTATGAGAGGTCTCGTCAAGTGCATGGCCAACCCGTGTCCTCAAGCACAGATGGCCATGGTCAACTCCCAATGTGAGGTACAGACTCGAGCAGGAGCCGACACCACCTGCCACCCCCTCGACACCCCAGGACCCTGTACCTCTGGCACCTTCACCGTCGACAATATCCTCTCAGAAGCTGTGTGCGTGGAGACCCACAGCATCTTCAACCTACCCAACTTGAAGGCGTGCGCGAGGGGCTCGATTAGAGACAGTCGTGGCCGCTGCCGCCGCAACTTTTCTTTGTTGTTGCAGGGCTCGCAAAGCTTTGTCACCAGTGCTCCCCTTAACAGACCTGATGGCCGTATCTGTCCCCCAGGGTACACGTTCCTAGGTGGTACTTGTCTGCGGCGGGTCTCGCGTAGAAGCACACCCACCAAGCCTTCCTAGCTGGTAGTTGTCTCACACTGGTTCTTAGCTAATGCATACTCATTTTGCAATCATACATACTCTTAAAATCTCATGCACAAAAATCAATATTGACTAATTTGTTAAACATGGCATCAGTGGAAAACTCGATGTGATAAATCATTGAGGTACGGATATACCCTCAAAATAATTTCTTCAAAAATTAAGTATGTACTTTAAGGCGAAGAATAACACAAGTCTAGACATCCCCTCAAAATAAATCCATATTCATACAAGAGTAAGCATTATTCTAATGAACAGACAATTATATGTACCATGTTGACTTTTAATAAACCTGTTATCTATTAATGGTTCTGAGGATCATCATCCTAGTAGCCAAGTCTAATAGTAGACCTAAAGTGGGAAGACAACATTACAAGAACATGAAGCAGAAATACAGTTAAGATAAGGGGTACATTGAAAACAAGTATAAATTAATAATATTTACCCATTATCTTGGATGTTCATACCAAAAGGAAATACTATACCAGTAATCCAACCAAAGTGCGAAACATTTAATAGGCTTTCGTTTCGCACTTGTATAACACGACAGCATTACCTTTCTGGGTAGTGGATGTCTACCAATTATGCATTTATTATGATGATTTTTAAGATTTGATGAGAGAAGGAAGGTTACTGGGCAGTGCCATGCATCCTGTGAGTGAACACAACACTATGACTGTACATATCAGCCCAAATAATTGACATACTCCTGGCAATATCAACTCAATCTTTGTTTCATTATACAGGTATCATTATCTATAATTAACCTCATCTATAAATATCCCTTTACAATTACTCTTATCTATTTACAACAAACCTTGGATATATATTTTTTGGCAAAATACTAAGCTAATTAAGATTTCACCAAACGTTAACCTTGTAATAATACATTCCCTCCCCCCACCTTGTGCATAAACAAATCCCAGGAGACACGAGACTTGTATAGTCAACTTACAGGTTCACCTGCAACACTGGCCGACTCAAGAGAATAACTGTTGAAACCACTGAGAGGTGGTGTGTGACTACACTACCTCACACATCCATCATCAAAGAGTTGAACCTCAGGTCAACACACCTCGAGGTTTTTTTCTTACGTGGGCTGATAAAAGAGCCCTGCTAAGTGAATCATCGTCACGCAGTAAGCATAATACAGTACACTGGACCCTCGACCAACGATGGCATCGTCTAACGTTAGATTCGACTAACGATATATGTTAACGCTAACATGTTGCCTCGACTAACGATAAAAAAAACTCGACTAACGATATTCGTTCTCGGGTACCAATTAATATCGTTAGTCGAGGGTCCACTGTATTTAGATCACATTTTAAACCATTTATATCTGACTATTAAACAAATCTGAAAGTTATTTAAAAACCAGACTTTAAAAAAAATATGTTACTTAAAAATACCAATAAAACAAAGTTCATTATGAAACAAGGACATACTGTACAAGCTCTCCCCCCAAAATGGCAATACAAACAAAACACATGGATAATAATGGTTACCAAGTAACTGAAACTGATAACTGAATGACGTTACGGAGAGCCCTAGACCATTATCATGTGTTCAATGAGTGACAGCAGTCACCATTAAGGACTAAGCCATCACAGCTGCAGCAGCAACACTTGACAAACTCAAGGGCTGGTCTGTCATGCTTCAAATCTTCCTTAAGATTTCCTTGGGAAGATTCATGGGCTTATGTATGTTAATTATTCAAAACACCCCCCCCCCCACACACACACATCTCTGACACACACCACACGTGCATGTGCAACCACTGAACCTACAATATTAATAAACATCTGTGATAATAATTGTGTTCTGCTTATTTCCACCATCTTTATACACCTACCATCCGACTTACAACCAAGCTTGGTTCTGACGAACTGGTCGTAAGTCAAAATGGACACAAGTCGAACCTTACTACTGAATATCAACATCACATTTTTGTAATGACTATTTTATTGTTTTATTCTGGTATTTCATTTTTTACATTACTTTTTAAGCTGTTAGTACTGTGTTTTATACTGTAAGGTTTAGGATAAACACTGTGTACATCACAAACAGTTGTTTATTTCCCAGAAATTTGGCACACAAAACATGGTCGTAAGTTGAGTGGTCGTATGTCGAGCAGGTCATAAGTCGGATGGCAGGTGTAATTATATATATATATGCTGGGAGCAAGGGGCTAGTAACCCCTTCTCCTGTATAAATTACTAAATGTAAAAGGAGAAACTTTCGTTTCTCCTTTTGGGCCACCCCGCCTCGCTGGGATACAGCCGGTGTGTTGAAAGAAAGATATATATATAAACACACACACACAAAACAACCACTGTGAAAGAATAGTGAAATTCAAAGCACTTTCGTGACTACTCACATTATCAGGGAACAATAAAAGTAATACAACAAAGGAAGGCATATAAAGGGTTTAGACCACACCTCACTATCACATCCCACAACAAAGAAACACCTGACGTGTGACAAAGTGCAACTCATAAGAAAGAGAACACTACAGCAAGCCCGCTGGTCCAACTAGACAGGTCCTTCACGGCATCCCACAAATAAACTATTCTACCCAAGAATTAAGATTTATTATTTGTCCAATGTATTATTAAATTCTTCCCAAATTCTATTAATTATAAATGAATCTAATTTATATAAACCAAAGGAAATACAGTGGATCCTTGCATAACGATATTATTTCAATCCAGAAGTCTGTTTGGGTGCCATTATAGACCGAATTTGTTCCCATAAGAAATATTGTGAATTAGATTAGTCCGTTTCAGACCCCCAAAAATACACCTACAACAGCACTTACAAAAATACACTTACATAATTGGTCGAGTTGGGAGCTGATCGTTATGCGGGGGTCCACTGTATTCATATTATTTTCAAAACTGCTTTTTATAAAACAAGATTCAATTATATTCCTGTCAACCATGGACTTCCTTGATACGACTTTCTCATCTTTTTGAAAATCAATTGGATGGTTAAAATTTCTCACATGCATAAATAGAGCATTGGAATCTTGTCCAGTTCTAATGCTATATTTATGTTGTTTTAATCTTAGTTCAATACGTTTACCAGTTTGACTAACAAATTTTATCCCAAATTTTACAAGGATATTAAAAGTCTTAAGAAGAGAAGGCATATCAACAAAATTTTCATGGTAAGGGAGAACCAACATATTTTTAGTTGAATAAGGTTGGTTGTCCTTTTTTGGATTGTAAAAAGTATTTCTAGCAATTTTAAAAGATTTATCAATTACGTTTTTTGGGTATTTCAGATCATTAGCTATTTCATAAATTTTGGATATAGTATCTTCATCTATGAACTCTGGACTACAAATACGCAAAGCTCTCAAAAACACTGATGAGAAAACAGACAGTTTAACTCTATGTTGTGGTGAAGAATAATAGTGTACATAGGAACAGTTATTTGTAGGTTTTCTGTAAATTTTAAAAATGAATTCATTATTACCCTTAATAATTAAAACATCTAGAAAAGCCAATGAGTTATTTTCCTCAAACTCAACAATAAAGTTTATAGAACGGGCTAAGCTATTTAACAAAGAAATGGTGTATATCTACATTCTTGGGCATAAGACACAAAACACCATCAACATATCTGAACCATTTAGCTCTATTAGGGAGGATTGTGTTAAGCAGCCTTCTTTCAAAAAATTTCATGTATAGGTTACTAAGAACAGGTGAAAGAGGATTTCCTATTGCCATACCAAACTTCTGAATGTAAAACTTATCATTAAATACAAATTTTGCATCAACAATGCAAAGTTTAACCCTTTCAGGGTCCGTCCCGTAGATCTACGGCTTTACGTTCAGGGTCCAAACCGTAGATCTACACCATGAGCTCAGCTCACTGATAAGCTATGGGTGGTAAATCTGGGCCTAGATATGAGAGAATACATCTATGTGGTATGTGTGCACCACATAAAACAAATCCTGCAGCACACAGTGTATAATGAGAAAAAAAACTGAGACTGTGATTTTTTATTAAAACAGCGACGTTGGCAGTGTTTTTTCGTATGTTTTTTATAGTTGTACAGTATTTGTGATTTCTTGGTCTCATTTGATAGAATGGATGATATGTTACAGACGTAGAGATGATTTTGATTGGTTTTAGTACTGGAAATGGCTTGAAACTGAGCTCAAAGTAGCGGAAATGTTAAATTTTTGTCGATGTTCAAGAGTAAACAAACAACCTCACACGTCTAAATACACGCCATCTGGTGGGTCTAATATATATTCACAAATGTGATGATGATATTTATACAATTACAGTGGACCCTCGACTAACGCTATTAATCCGTTCCTGAGAGCTCATCGTTAGTCAAAATTATGTTAGTCAAGTTAATTTTCCCCATAAGAAATAATGGAAATCAAATTAATCCGTGTAGGACACCCCAAAGTATGAAAAAGAAATATGTTTTTACCACATGAAATATTAATTTTAATACACACAAACTGAAGAAGACATGCACAGTTACATGACACTTACCTTTATTGAAGATCTGGTGATGATTGATGGGATGGGAGGAGGGGAGTGTGTTGATGGTCTTAGTGTTTAGAAGGGGAATCCCCTTCCATTAGGACTTGAGGTGGCAAGTCCTTTTCTGGGGTTACTTCCCTTTCCTTTAAATCTCTCAAACCAACCTTTGCTGGCCTTAAATTCACTCACATCACCACTAGTTGCTGGCATTTTTTTAATTAAATCGTCATACAACTTCCTAGCCTTTTCACATATGATCACTTGAGAGATGCTATCGCCGGCTATCTATTTTTCGTTTATCCACACCAATAACAGTCTCTCAACATCGAGTACTTGCGATCTCAGTTTCGAAAACATAGTTGCACCTTTGGCAAGAACAGCTTCCTTGATTGCCGTTTTCTTGCCCACAATTGCAGCGATGGTTGATTGGGGTTTTGTGTACAACCTGGCCAGCTCGGAGACATGCACTCCACTTTCATACTTAGCAATGATCTCTTTCTTCATATCCATAGTAATTCTCACCCTTTTTGCTGTAGGGTTGGCACTAGAAGCTTTCTTGGGGCTCATGGTGACTTATTTTGCAGGTGCAATCACCAAAAAGGCTGTGATAATATGAAATGTTCCGATTGTATGCTTGGAAGCGACCGTGGTGGCTGGCTGGCTTGTAAACACTGGCCAGAAGTGGACGCGTCTCAGATGGAACGAATAGTGTTGGTCGAGTTTTTTAGCGCTAGTCGAGGCAAAATTTTTGCATTAAAATGTATCGCTAGTCGGATGTATCGTTAATCGATGCCATTATTGGTCGAGGGTCCACTGTATTACAATATTGCATAACACTAAATCTTCTATTTTTTGGTTTGAATAAAAATTCATTATGTGAATAAAAAATAAAAATGGAATTCATTTGTAAAGCCTCAAAACATAACTAATGAGCAGAGGAAATGTTAATTTAGTGCCAGGAATACCTACATTGTTTATTCTGGACCCCATTTTGAAATCGGAATATTTTGAACTTTGTGTTAAATTGGCCAAATTACCAATTTCCGATCACTTTATTTTGTAGTTGAAATAGTTGACTGTGCGATTTCTTGTGCTCAATCGATAGAATAGAAGTAATACTAGTGAAATAGCTAAGAATTTGGTCGACTGGAATAATGTAATTGGCCTAAAATGGGAGTCAAAGTCAGCAAAATCGCCGATTCGTAAATATCGCCGACACATCAAAATTCATGAGCATAATTTCGTCAATTTTCCATCAAATTTTGTACTTTTTGTTTTATTACCTTCAGAAAAAAAATCTCTATCATTTCATAAGAAAAAATAACTAAATTTTTTTGTGAAAATTCTTGGACACTGGTGCACCCTTTGAAATTTGGCCTCTGGACCCTGAAAGGGTTAATAAGTTTAACGATAGTAGGAACTGGCAATGGTAAATCATAATTAACGAGTTCTTCAGATAAGAAACTTAATAAATCATCAACAGGAACTTTCGTAAACAAGGAAGTAACATCAAAACTATTTTTTTTTTTTTTTTTTTTATTATCACACTGGCCGATTCCCACCAAGGCAGGGTGGCCCGAAAAAGAAAAACTTTCACCATCATTCACTCCATCACTGTCTTGCCAGAAGGGTGCTTTACACTACAGTTTTTAAACTGCAACATTAACACCCCTCCTTCAGAGTGCAGGCACTGTACTTCCCATCTCCAGGACTCAAGTCCGGCCTGCCGGTTTCCCTGAATCCCTTCATAAATGTTACTTTGCTCACACTCCAACAGCACGTCAAGTATTAAAAACCATTTGTCTCCATTCACTCCTATCAAACACGCTCACGCATGCCTGCTGGAAGTCCAAGCCCCTCGCACACAAAACCTCCTTTACCCCCTCCCTCCAACCCTTCCTAGGCCGACCCCTACCCCCGCCTTCCTTCCACTACAGACTGATACACTCTTGAAGTCATTCTGTTTCGCTCCATTCTCTCTACATGTCCGAACCACCTCAACAACCCTTCCTCAGCCCTCTGGACAACATTTTGGTAATCCCGCCCTCCTCCTAATTTCCCCAAAACTACGAATTCTCTGCATTATATTCACACCACACATTGCCCTCAGACATGAAAACTCCACTGCCTCCACCCTTTCTCCTCGCTGCAACATTCATCACCCACGCTTCACACCCATATAAGAGCGTTGGTAAAACTATACTCTCATACATTCCCCTCTTTGCCTCCAAGGACAAAGTTCTTGTCTCCACAGACCCCTAAGTGCACCACCACTCTTTTTCCCTCATCAATTCTAGATTCACCTCATCTTTCATAGACCCATCCGCTGACACGTCCACTCCCAAAAATATCTGAATACGTTCACCTCCTCCATACTCTCTCCCTCCAATCTGATATTCAATCTTTCATCACCTAATCTATTTGTTATCCTCAAAACCTTACTCTTTCCTGTATTCACCTTTAATTTTCTTCTTTTGCAAAACCCAAACCAAATTCATCCACCAATCTCTGCAGCTTCTCTTCAGAATCTCCCAAGAGCAAAGTGTCATCAGCAAAGAGCAACTGTGAACAACTCCCACTTTGTGTGTGATTCTTTATCTTTTAACTCCACGCCTCTTGCCAAGACCCTCGCATTATTTCTCTTACAACCCCATCTATAAATATATTAAACAACCACGGTGACATCACACATCCTTGTCTAAGGCCTACTTTTACTGGGAAAAATTTCCCTCTTTCCTACAACTCTAACTTGAGCCTCACTATCCTCGTAAAAACTCTTCACTGCTTTCAGTAACCTACCTCCTACACCAAAAACACTTGCAACATCTGCCACATTGCCCCCCTATCCACCCTGTCATAAACGCCTTTTCCAAATCCATAAATGCCACAAAGACCTCTTTAGCCTCATCAAATACTGTTCATTATATGTTTCACTGTAAACACCTGGTCCACAAAACCCCCTACCTTTCCTAAAGCCTCCTTGTTCATCTCTATCCTATTCTCCGTCTTACTCTTAATTCTTTCAATTAAAACTCTACCATACACTTTACCGGGTACATTTCAACAGACTTATCCCCCTATAATTTTGCACTCTTTTTTAAATCCCCTTTGCCTTTATACAAAGGAACTATACATGCTCTCTCCAATCCCTAGGTACCTTACCCTTCCATACATTTATTAAATAATTGCACCAACCACTCCAAAACTATACCCCCACCTGCTTTTAACATTTCTATCTTTATCCCATCAATCCCGCTGCCTTACCCCTTTCATTTACCTACTGCCTCCACGAATTTCCCCCCACACTCACAACTGGCTCTTCCTCACTCCTACAAGATGTTATTCCCCCCTTGCCCTATACACGAAATCACAGCTTCCCTATCTTCATCAACATTTAACAATTCCTCAAAATTCCCTCCATCTTCCCAATACCTCTAACTCTCCATTTAATAACTCTCCTCTCCTATTTTAACTGACAAATCCATTTTTCTCTAGGCTTTCTTAACTTTAATCTCACCCAAAACTTTTTCTATTTTAAACAAAATTTTTTTGATAACATCTCACCCACTCTTTTCATTTGCTCTCTTTTTACTTTTGCTTCACCACTCTCTTAAACCCTCTCTCTTTTTCTCCATATACTCTTCCCTCCTTGCATCACTTCTACTTTGTAAAAACTTCTCATATGCTAACTTTTTCTCCCTTACTACTCTCTTTACATCATCATTCCACCAATCACTCCTCTTCCCTCCTACACCCACTTCCTGTAACCACAAACTTCCTGCTGAACACTCTAACACTACATTTTTAAACCTACCCCTACCTCTTCGACCCCATTGCCTATCTCTCATTAGCCCATCTATCCTCCAATACCCTGTTTATTCTTACCCTAACTGCCTCCTCTTTTAGTTTATAAACCTTCACCTCTCTCTTCCCTGATGCTTCTATTCTCCTTGATCCCATCTACCTTTTACTCTCAGTGTAGCTACAACTAAAAGTGATCTGATATATCTGTGGCCCCTCTAAAAACATGTACATCCTGAAGTCACTCAACAGTCTTTTATCTACCAATACATAATCCAACAAACTACTGTCATTCGCCCTACACATATCGTGTATACTTATTTATCCTCTTTTTCTTAAAATATGTATTACCTATAACTAAACCCCTTTCTATACAAAGTTCAATCAAAGGGCT